TTGACCTGTTTGACTTTTTTTACGTGCTAAGTCTATGTGTGATGTTATTATGCATTTTGGTCAAGTCTAGGTGTAGGATCCAAGTGTTCCAATGTCCACGGAACTTCACGAACTACTTGGTTGAATCAAGTTCGACCAATTTATGCTTGTGATTGTTCTCTAAGGTCAAATAGGTGTTGATCTTAGTATATAATTGTTGTAGGTATTTGACGAGCCGTGCTCGCTGCCTACTCCCGATTGTGTGCCATTTTCCTTTGTTGTACCAGGTGGGTTTACTTATAAAATTGTCTATGCCATACGTGTTGTTTATTGTTTAGTTGGTATGACCAATGTATGAATGTGAACCATGTGGCCTACCGATGTGAGCTGTTACGGCTGTCGTTACGGTTGTCCCTGTCGAGTTACGGTACGGTTGTCCTTGCAAGGCAAGTCTCCTTAAGACCTAATGAAAGGTCGTGTCCGTTACAGTGGCACGCACTCCCATCGTTAGGGTTTATGCATCCCCATTCCGCGGCTAATGATAGATGTGCACATGAGTGAGTTATTGTTGTGATTATTAGGAGATGAGACATGATAATGATTGATTTATATTCATGCTGCGACCATACCATCTTTACATGTTATTATGTGCATAGTAGTGAGCACTACTTTATCATTTGTGCTCATTCCCACCTGCTCTTCACGGATGCAGGTTAAGCAGTGGCCGGGTGACGGGACAAAGGGCGAGTGGTGGTCTATTTAATGTTTAGTTTTGCTTCCGTTTAAATAATATGGTTGTTATGAACCTCTCTATGATTTGGAAATGTGAAAACTGCTTTCGAACTATGTCATGTTTTGATGTTCGATAATATTTTGAAAAACCCTTTTTCGAAACTTGAATAATCATGGTGTTTGATTTATGAAGTTACAATTGTTCATGTTGGATATTATGTCGAGATGTGATTCAGGTTAATGAAAACCTTGTAAAAATTGGATTTATGAATCCCCGTAGGTCCAGATAAGACTTGGACTAAGTAAAGATGTGTTGGGTAATGCCCTGGATTTCGAAAACGGATTCGAAAAATTTGTTCTGATTTTTAGAAAGTCCGGAATTTCTTTAAAATCAAAGTGGGGTGTTACATCAGCCCGTCACCATGATTCAGTACTTGAAGAATTCCCTTTACGAGCTCAGGAACGACGATAGGCGTGGTCCTAATTTGGGCCATATCGTCACAGCTATTGCGGGTCATTACCGGGTGGAGGTTGATGATATCCACAACACGATTGGCTCCGAGATGATCTCGGAGCGAGATCTCTACAAGGCCCAATTTATATATGATCGGTACAACATCCGCAATGTTTTAGATCGGAAGAGCTATAAAGAGTACCGAAGGGCGTTGAATCGAAAGGGCAGAGACACCGGTCCATCAAATGCGGCTTCACAGCCCCCCGCCTCGCAGGATAGCTCCGATGATGATACCGGAGCTGACGGCCAATCTATTCCCGAGGCACATCAGCCCCCTCCAGTGGTTGGAGGTCCCACGCCCACATTTACCGAGCATGCTCCGACTTGGTTCACCGAGTACCAGGGACGACATGATGAGCAACTCAGGTCCATTCACGCCGATCTCATGTCGCTGAGCGTGAACAATGAGGCGCGCTGGAAAGCGCAAAACGACGAGTGGCGGTCGTTCGTTCAAACAAATGATGCACGTTGGAAGACGCAAAATGACGAATGGCAATCCTACGTTGCTACCAATGATGCTCGCTGGGAGGAAATTAACAAAGCAGTTCAAAGAAACGACGACCATTGGACTGCTCATGATAGCCGATGGGATTCTTGGGAGGCGAAGGAATTCCAGCAGTGGAATGCATGGGACGATTGGTTCAACCAGTGGGACTCTCGTTGGAGCTCGGGCACGGATTTTCCACCACCACCACCACCATCTGACACACAGTGACGTGTCACTGTGCTTAGTAACTTATCTTTTTTTTTTACTTTTTATTTTGAACTATTTTTATTATTTTTCTTTCTTGAACAATGAGGACATTGTCTCGCTTCAGTGTGGGAGAATTTTTATTTATGTTTGGATTGTGAATTTTATTATTGTGTGTATTTTTATTGTTGTGATTTTATGTTTTGTGTGATGCTTTCGATTGTGAATTTTATTATTGTGTGTATTTTTATTGTTGTGATTTTATGTTCTGTGTGATGCAATGAGTCACCATTTATTGTGTGGTTTGTAATAGTCAACTAATGTTTATGCTTCTGTATATTTTCAGTTAATTAAATTGAAGAAACGGATTATCAAAATCCGTTTTCATAAAAATTATAAAAAAAATATAAATGGATTCTGGTAATCCGTTTTCAGTTAATTAAATTGAAAAAAAAAACAGATTCTCAGAATCCATTTTCATAAAAATTATAAAAAAAAATAAATATAAACGGATTCTGGTAATCCGTTTTCATTACTAAGACGGATTTTCACAATCCATTTTTCGAAACACGGATTTTCAGAATACGTTTATCTATAAATTAATTAGGGTTAATCACGTCATTAAGGAAAAACAAATTATGAAAATCTTTTTTTCTCTCAAAATTAATTAAAAACGGATTGTCAAAATCCGTGTTTACTGCAAACACGGATTCTCATAATCCGGCCATTTGATTTTTTTCCGCATTTTTTTTTTAATTTTTGTCCACTTTTTTTTTGAAAAAAAATAAATAAATGATTCCCAAAAATAGAGTCCAGAGAGAAATTCTCCATAATAGTTTACATAATACTGATCAATATTCAATAAAAAATAATTTTTATATGTATTTTAGATTTATATCAATTTTAATGCAAATGATATCTGGGGTCCGCACAAACCAATTAACCAAAGCAACAAAATGTGAGTACGCCATACAAACTATGTACTGTTTAAACGCGGTGGTGCTTTTCATTGCAATTGCATAAATTTGCACATCATGAATCAATGTTCATTGCAATAATGTACTAATCCTCCACCTATGATTCCATATCATCATCATCATCATCATCATCATCTACAATATGAACCCCATTGTCCGACACACATCTCCTCACCTGACTGGCCCGCATTTCTTGGGAGCCACTCTGCGGCTCTTTCCTTTTTCTGCCCGATTCATTCAAAAAACGCACCTCCCCCATTTCAACATCCCTCTTTCTTCCCGACATAGCTTCTGCGTATAGTATAGATATGCTGTGATCCAACACTTTAACGGCTTGCTCTTCAAGAATATAAAGCCACTCTGAAACATAACACCCAGTTACGTAGACACACAAAAACACACACATATGTATATATAATATTTTCCAATTGAGATTGTTATGGGATAAAACATCTGTTTCTAAAAAGGCCTAACATTAGAATTAACCTGCAATATAGTGAAAGAAACAAACCCTCAAGGTAAAGTAAATTAATGGAGTACAAATGAATTCAAAACTCACTAATAAGGGCATCTGGTGAGGTAAGGACAGCCCTATTGTTCTGGTCATTAGCCTCAGCTTGACTACCAGCCCAACTAATTAACTCGGCCATCAATTGTGATTCACAGAAAGCATTAAGATAAGAAATGGCCCTATGTTCATCATTTTTGGCCCTGTTCGACAAAATTCAAATATTCATATTTGGAGATATTTTTTTATGCTATTCTGAGAGTTGGGTTTAGTACTTGTCGAGTGCCTACCTCGCAAACTGAATGGCCCTGTCAGCAACCAACACCCACAAAAGGGCCAATTTTCTGGGCTGACGATCACTTGACTGGGCCCATCTCCCGGTGTAAGAAGCATAATCAATAAGCAAAACAGCATCATATAATGCTTTATACAAAATAATTCCATCCTCAGGACTCTGCGGAAACTATGCAGTTAGCTTCTTGGGATATGAGATTTCATTTTAGGTCATTATTACAGTCATGAGCAAATTCACGAGAATTTTTATATGAAGAGTTGATAAAAATTTCTACCTCCATCAAAATTTTGGGTAGACTTACCAATAAGGATGCGACGGGCAAGCTGGGCTCGAGTAGCATTTTAAGGAGCAAATCTGCTCAGAAAAAATAAAATAAAAATAATATGCAATCAGATGGCATATGGAGAGTAAAATAGTTCATATACACGGAATCTTGAACTGCTATGATCATAAGGATTTTATAGAGAATCATGGCAACATAGGTACCATGTGAAAAGATGATAACAGAGACAAGAGGACAAAGTAGAATGAATAACAAAAACGCGGGTACATGAACTGACATTTTAATCAGTAAATATAGGGTGTTCTTCAATATAATCACAGAGAAAATAAATTTAGACACTCATAAGCAAAATTTGGTCTCACCTTCAATACAAAGAAAACATAATAACTTGAGGGAGTGGGCAAACGCATAAACTGACAAAGAAAGTATAAGCTTCTCGAGAGTTGGCACAGGCCAAACAAAACGTTACTTCAAGACAAAGTACGATTGTTATTCTCAAGCCGCAGAGAATATTTCGCATGCTTTCATGGATTTTTAGTTTTTTTATATTCAGTGAAAAGGTTTTCAGTATGGTGGAAGCAGAGAGAGTAATCAATTTCAGATGTTCCTGGATGTATGGTCATGTGAAGAAAAAACGAACAACCTCCTGTTATGAGTTATAACAGAAATCAAACGTTTGACAATAATTCACTTGTGTTATGAGAACTGAAAAATTAAAGCATAGTTAGTTCTAGATCCTACTAATTAACAAAGCCCAACAAACCACTTCGACATAGAAACTTGTTCCAGAAACATATGTAAAAAGATGTGGTAGGATATGAAAGTGCTTCAGCACAACCTCAGGGGGTGTGTTTTCCAATCAATTCAACACAAACACATTCCCCAAATGAGCATAACACATTTAAAACAGCACAATCTCAAGGGCAACGGTGTGTTTTCCAATCAATTCAACACAAAAATATCCCCCAAATGAGCTTAACACATTTAAAACAGCACAATCTCATGGGCAACACTGTGTTTTCCAATCAATTCAACACAAAAACATCTCCCAAACGAGTTTAACACAATTAAAACATGCCTACAAAAGTCAAGTCACCATAAATCTAACAAAAGTAGCAAAGAGAAAACTTAAAGTAATTAGGAAAAACAGAGAAAAGCAATGTAGTATTTTAGAACCAGTTAAAAAACACCAAAGGAACTTAAGGTTGACTCCTAGAACATTGATTAAGCAGCAAAATGAAAACAAGCATTCTCACCCAAAAAGTCAAAATTTTGAAAGCCCTTTATAGTCTGAATAGCCAACTTTAGCATCTCTCTCACCAGATCTTCTTTACTAATTTCTTCAGAAACTTTCAGATACAAAAGCCTCATTAATGACAACGCCAGCCATGTACCGCATGCACTCAGTGACTTTATGTTGAAAACTAAATCCCAAGTTCGGAAAGAAATGTGCCAAAAGATCATTTTTATGCCTTGGCCTGACCTGATGCACCGTCCAAACCCTTATTAGATCCAAGACATGTGTCCCTAACCTATTTGACCTCTGTTCTCCTTCCTTCAAATACTGAGAGCAACAAATGCTAAAATAACTGACGATTTCTTCTACTAAGTTCCCAATCTCCTCCTCAAACATGGATCTCTTTCTGAAAAATCAATCACCAGATGATACAGGAGATACAGAACAGGAGCTACTACAGCTACCTAAACCACACTGCATGAACTTGAGTACGAAGTTAGCGACTGCAGCATATCCTTAACGGCCGAAAAATTTTCTGGGGTGGTAAATTGGTCGTTTTACAGTCATGAAATGCAATCACCCCATATAATAAGATAATTTCAAGAGGCGGATCTTCCACATCTTTAATGACCCCATTATAGGTGGAAATCAAATCAGAGCGACCTCGAACACTTTCAGGATACTCATCTAAAATGTCTTTGATTGGACTTTCGAGTACCTCAACACAAATTGCAAATGGATGAGATGTATTCATGACTTGCAAGTGATCGACTGGAATTGCTCTAATAGAAATGAGGAATATATGAATATGGCCTGTGGTTATGTTCGGAAGATGACAACATAGGTTTTGCCGCCGGCTACAGAGAAGAACCAACCTTCAACTAGAGCAATCCTAGCGTATATATTTTGAAGGACAGTTTAGGGGAACTGACCTAACCCTTGATATACACTATTTAAAGAGAAACTGGAATTGATTATAGATTACTCATATTGTACACATCACAGTAAATGGATTTCATCATTAAATGCAGTGAATTACAAGGTATATATCACTCGATTATGGCTGTCTATAAAACTCGGACACATGACCACATCCAAATGGGACAGGAACATAACTAATGTTTTCTAAATTTAAGTGATTCAGGAGACAATAAAGCATTATGTTTTATTATTTCTCAAGTATACACCTACAGGCCAACTGTTCTGAAACTGATTAACAGACTTACTCTTACTCTGACCATCCTGTCTGTAACTGTGCAGTTTGTAGTTTATATGGTTATAACTCCATCGGATCAATAAATAATGAAATGTGCAATGTATACATTAATGCAACCATCTACAACCAAATTATCTCTCAACTTTTCACTTCTGCTTGCCCTGGTTAAATTCATAACCATATAAGTTAATCTATTTTCAAACACATATAGAATCAAGTCCTCGTACAAGTGAGAAGCTCAAATCTCCATGAATTTAGAATTTTTCCTTTGCACGTGCAGCAATGTACCCATTTGTTTGAAATCCCTTGGGCAATACAAAGAACAGAATTCTTCTGATGATAATAATGCAGATTTACCTTGACCATGTAACATGCCGCCGCTACTTGGGATAATTTGTTAGTAAAATACAGAATCATACGAAGTAGCAAATACAAAAACTTAACGCACCATAGAAATCTGATAGACTATATATCACATTTGCAGAACTACTTAGATTCCAAAACAGATCTACAGAAACAGTAGAAGATAAGTAACAAGAAATGCTCACCCAAGAAGTGTGTATTTTGAAACCCCATGATAGTTTGCACTGTCTGGTCTCGTGTGTGGTTCAGAAGATCCGCCGTGCACACACCCGAAGCAAAACACAGGTAAAGTCTCAGGAAAAACACTTCACACAGAACAATCCCCACCAACTCTCGCATCCCACACCGACCGTTCAACTCATTCCAAATTCCATCGGTCATCAGAGGGAAAAAGACCCTCAGATTTTCCACAAAGTTAAAGCTACCCCCACCTCTATCAATCGTCCAAACCCTAACCAAATCCTCAAAGCAATCCACCACACTATCGCACTTGACATCCCGGTGCCCATAATCATACACCTGGGCCGGCATCATAACATATCCAACAATGTCCTCCACCAATTTGTCCACCTCCATTCCTGCAGATATCTTGTGCTTCCTGCAGTCACAGACGATACCGTACAACTCGCACACCACAGGAGCGAGAAGGGCAATCCTCTTAGGCGCGCTGCTCAGGTTAGAGCAAAAAATCAGCAAATTCAGCAGGTCCTTGGCCACCAGAACTCTAGCAGAAGGGCTGCTGCTATGCGAGCTCGATCTCGCGGCATGAAAAGTGATGGCGGAGTAGAACCAGGTTAACTCGAAAGGCGGGTCGAGCATCGTCTGAATCTTACGAAAGAAAATAGCCTCAAAAGAGGAGTAGTCGGGCCTGCCATTGTGGTATGAAGCTAGAAAGTGCTTGATGGACTCTCTTAACATGGACTCGTGTTCCTGGGTTTGAGAATTCATGGTCAGAAGGAAGGAGTGAAATGGACAAGAAATAACAGCTTCGGGTGAAATTGGGGTTTTATATGCTTTTACGGCGAGGTTTTAAAACCCTAGGACGGAGAAGGGGAGGGGAGGGAGACCGGACATGGGCACAGGCGGGGAGTTTTTGAGAGCAATAGCAACGGATCAATTTTTGAATTTTAGACTTCGACTCCATCACCATTCAACACATGCCTGCCTACAACTACAAGAATTTTTTTCTTTCAATGGTACAAATCTGTGCGATGCACGGGTAAGAGATAGTCATCAATTTTTTTAAATTATTAAATAATATTTATAAAGTAAAGTTATGGAATCAACATGTAATACAATATACCTATATTAATTTATTTAAAATGTTATATGAAATTTAAATTGTGTAAAATCATACAACATGTCTATTTAAAATTTGTACACAGCTCGTACGATAATAATTTACATTATATTAATTTAAAATAAGTGTCATTTTAATATTTTTATTCAAAAATTCCGTATGAATACAACGTGGTTCCATAAAGTAATTATTTTGGTAAAATTTTATTATATATTTAAAAATATATGTGATTAATAAGTATAATATTAAAATTTATATTGTTTCATTAATTAAAATAAATTTATATACTTATAAATTATCCAATTCAGAAAATTTAACTAGTTGATTAATTTATTAAACTATAAATAATTGACTATTAGACAGTGCAATTCGAGTTAGCCTGGTGCTAGGGTTTGTTCTCTTCGGAGATATTGAGTTCCATGAATTGGATTGTGTCCTTGACCTTCCTGTGTTTCACTGGATAGATCTAGGCTTCTTGTAAGTTTTCGCCTTTGGTTTGTTTCCTCGTCGTTCTTGTCTCTGTCAGGATTGGCTTTTGTTCGGGTATTTAGGGTTCTCTCAGCTCTCAGTTCCTTTTCTTGTCTTTATGACTGCTTATCCTAAAAATGTTGGACAGTTTTAACGCTGTCGTGGGCGGCCTATCTTGCATTTCTCTATTTGTGCACGGATTGCTTGCTGTTGCTATTTGACATTGATTGCATTGTTGGTATTATTTGCATTTTCTGTGTGGGTTTCTGTGTTTCTGGGTTGGGTGTGGGGGTTAGTTTTTCTGTTCTGGGTTTGTCTTCTAGCTGGTAGAATATGGCTCAGGATTTATCAGAGAAGCTTTCCAATTTTAAGCTCTCTGATAGGGAGGTGAAGGGGGTTGATTTATCTGTGCAGGATATTGCCCCTGGCCTTAAAGATTGTGAACTGAGCTTGATAGGCTTAGTGTTTGGAGAGAAAAAGATTAACTTCAGTGGCCTTAAAACTACTCTTAGTAACATCTGGGTCACTAAAAAACCATTCACAGTTAGGAATCTTGGGAACAATAGGTTCCAATTCTTGTTTCAATGTGAAGAAGATAAACTTAAAATTTTAAGAGGTAAATCCTGGACCTTTGATGGTCAGTACATTATTCTCAAACCATGGAGCCCCAGTTCTAATGAGTTCACCTCGGATGAGGAGATCATAAAACTTTGGGTTCAAGTTTGGAATTTACCTCTGCATTGGATTACCTATGACTCAGGTATGAAAATTGGTAGTATAATTGGGAATCCTCTTGATGTCCAACTCCTAGTTGAGATTAATGTTAATGAACCAATTCTTAGAGGATCTCATATTAGAGTAGGTGCTGAGTCAAATTGGGTGCACTTCAGGTATGAAAACCTGCAGACCTTTTGCTTTTATTGTGGTAAAATTGGCCATGCTGAAAAAAATTGTTTTCTTAAATCGAAGATATCAATAGTAAGGCTGTGAGTAGGGGACAGTATGGGGAATGGCTGAAAGCTTCCTCATCCTTTTCTTCTAGTGAGCCCTTTAGTCCTACCAACACTAATGTTGGCACTCAAAGTAGTGTTAAAAGCATTAGTGCTAATCCTTTGGTTAGGACTGGGAGTGGGCATGAAGATGTGAGGGAAACTGAAATACCTGCTAAACTAGATAAGATTACTACGGGGGGGCTGATAGCAATGATCCTGTCAACCCTGATGTCTCTAATATGGGTACAACTGCTATCTCTGTTATCCGCTTTGTGATTAATACTTCTGAGAATGGGACTTCCCAAGATAACATCATCCCTGATGATGATAATCTTGTAGAAGTGAGTGTGCAGCCTTCTACTGTTGGAAGGAAACTTCCATAGAAGAAGAAAGCCACTTTTACCAGGAAACCCAGACCCAACAATGATGGGGATTCACAGAAAATGATCATTGATCCATCTGTGGATCCAGTGCACAAAACTGAGGGTAAAAAAGCTGGTAAGAGGGGTTGTGAAACATTGCTGTCTGATAATCTTAGTTGTGTTAATGAGAGTCAAACTGTGAAAAAATTGAAACATTCTTCTGTTGATGCTTTGAATGTGGTGGAGGAAACCAGCCCTAACTGGTCCCAAAGTTTCCAATGAAGGTATGTGTGTGGAATTGTAGAGGTTTAGGGGGCCCTCTACAATTCCCAGTTCAAGGAATCCCTTAGGATCCACCACCCTGATTTTGCTTTTT